TAGTGGATCCTTGCCACCTGGTTAATTCAGGCCATAGTCCTACTGCTCTCCACCCCTTTCCATTTCCCTGAGAAACCAGGCAAAATTGAGAGTTCCAGAGGGTACAGAAATGGGATTCTGGACTTCCTGATGCTATTTTACATCTAAAGTGAGCTTGAAGTTTTCCAAAGTATGTAACTTTTCTATCCTTATTGTGAAACACAGCACACATGCGTTAAATATATATGTGTATGGTGTAATAAGTGATTAACAAATCAAACACCTGTGTTTCCACTCTCTGGGTCATGATGAGTATTACCAGCACCCCAGAAGTTCTTGTGTCCTCCCTTGATCCCAACCCCATCTCCCCACCCGGAGGGAGCTGGCATCCTGACTTTTGTGATCTCATTTCCTTGTTTACCTTCCAAAGTAGAGTTTCTTAGATATTATCACCTTCGAGTTTCCCAGTAGACTTATTATTCCCATCTTACAGATGAGGAGACTGAGGCTTGGAAAGGTTAAAATAACTAGACCAAGCCCAGTCAACAATCAAATGCCAGGACAGGATCATAGTTTGGGTTGGCTGATTTCCTAGAGTGGTTCCTTGGTCAAACCAGAGTTAACCGGAAATCCTGGGACAACCTCAACCCTGGAGACAGGCGCTCCAGTGCCCCAGAAAAGCAAAAGGCCTTCTTTATGGCCAGACCAGTGCCTCCCATCAGGAATTGTTGACTCTCCCGACGAGCAAGGGCCCTGCTTTGGAAGTAGCTGGTGGAGATGGTGGAGGCCCAGAGGAGAGAAAACTGGAAGTTGAGAAGCTGGGCTTATCCAGATGGGACAAGCACCTGTGAGAGCTCTGGGCCCAAGCTTGCACAAGCCAAGGGAGTGCGCCTGAGCAGAGGGCCTCCCAAGCTTTGCCAGCTATAGCAGGTGTGCCTCCTTGGGAGACCAGGTGTGCTTGGTGTGCACACGTTTGTGCTCAGCTTGTCCACAGGCTTGTTCTGGACCATCTCTCCACCCCCAACTCTTTTTCTTGCTAACTACAAAACTATATAGGCTTGTTACAAAAAGTCGTCGCATAATGGCAAGTTCAGGCCCAGCCTGGGCAACTTAGTGAAACCCTGTCTCAAAATAAAGAATAAAATGGGCTGGGGATGTAACTTAGTTGTAAGGACCTGGGTTCAATCCCCAGATCAAAAAAAAAGGTCTCTCTTCTCCAATTCTAGTCATTAGTTTGGCATTCATCCATACGTCTTTCTGAGCAGAGTAAAATATATAGATACTTAAATTATTTAGGCACACAGATTCAAATGTAGTAGTGCAAAGTTTATTTATTTTTAACAAAATGATATTAGAATCTACATGTTATTTTTGAACTGGTCTTCTTCCCCAGAAGTGGATTTATTTCACTCTGTGTGTGTGTGTGTGTGTGTGTGTTGTTGTTGTTGTTGTTGTTGTTGTTGTTGTTGTATGGAAACCAGGATGTCCTGTGTTTAACAGGGTGGACTCACCTCCCTTGGTCTCCCAGAAGTGAGAGGGCAGGGGACAGGACAGCGGGGAGGACAAGGAGCCTGGCTGCAGAGTGCCAACCCCACCCTCCGAACAGCCCAGTCTAGCTGCCCTCTGACCTACTGCGAAAGAATTCCAGATCTTGGACCTCTCACCTCCCCAAACAACTCCACCCTCCCAAAGTCCACACCTTGTTCACCTGTTCTACGTCTTCTGTCCCCCTTATCCCTCCTGGTCCCCATTCCCTGCACGGCACTGCAGCGTTGCTCTGAGAGCATCTTGTCCCCCAGCTCCAGGACTTAGACTGCCTGTCAGAGCTGGGAGGAACTAGGGCTCAAGGGGCCCCAAGTTCAGAAGGCTCTGTGCAGACAGCCTGGAGGGGCTATGAGCACACCTCTTGCCCAGCCGACCCAGGGGAGGCGCCATGTTAACGGTGAATCTGACTCTGCCCAGGACTAGAAGGCGGTTTCCTGCTTCTCAGAGGGCACTGGCCATGGGACTGTGTCCCCGCCCCTGTACCAATGTCATGGAAAATCTGAAGCCTTGATCTTTGTTCTTGATTGTTCCTCCCTGATTTTTATAACTGGAAATTTTCGGTGTCTTTGTTCCCATTAGCTTGAGAAGGAGGTGTTGTGGGTGGGGGAGGGGAGGTGACTGACTCAGCAGCTGAGGGTAGGAACTTGGTACTTCCTTGGACTAACGTGACCCCCTTTGGCACGTGGAGGCCTGGGAGGAGGATGGGGGTGAACTTGGCTGTCCTTCCTGGATTAGCTGTCTCCTCTCCCCCCAGGTTGACCCCCCAGTTGTTTGGGGCCACAAGTCCTCTTGCTCCAGACACATCCAGCTTCCTTAGTGCTTGTGGTGGCAAGCACTTTCCAGCCCTCTGCTCCTTGGGGCCGCCCTCCCACCTCTTGTCTGATGCAACTAGAAGTTTAGGGTAAGAAAACCCTTTGGTGAGGCTGCCCCTTCTCACTGCCCAGCCAGCCCTTGGTATTCTCTCCCCTCCTTTCTCCCTCATGGCCAGAGTTCATGGAAACTTCTCAGGTCAGTGACTCTCACCTTCCTTTCCTGCATGGGAGAGAGGGCCCAGCCCCCATTCCCTGGCCTGGCACCTCACAGCCCTGCTGTTCTTGGGGTGGTGGAGGTCAGGCTCAGGGATGAACCCACAGCAGGCCTGGCTGCCCTCAGCATCATGCTGTGGAGAGAGATTTGTGCCGTACTCCCGGCAACCTTACAGATCTGAGAGCAGGAGGGGAAGCCAGAGAGGATCACAGGTGCCCAGCCCCAAGTGAGGCAGGGCAGTGGTCCCGAAGCAAATAGGGAGAAGGCCTGATCTTTATCCTGCAGCATCTACACTCAAAAACCAACCACTCACTCAACTGACTCTTAGGAACAGTTATTGCTTGATTGACTGTGGCCCCAGGGATGAACCCAGGGACTTCACACTGAGCTACATACCTGGCTGCCAGTTTTTTTCTTTAATTTTAATTTTGAGACAGGGTCTCACTAAGAGTTGTCCAGGCTGGGCTCAAACTTGAGATCCTCCTGTCTCCACCTCCCAGAGAACTGGGATTACAAGCATGTGCCTCCCTGCCTGGTGTCACAGAAACCAGCATTGCCAGTGAGGAATTTATAATCTGGTAGGTGGAGGTGTGTGTGTAGAGCAGGCAGATGTGGTTTCTAGCCTTCAGAGCTCAGGAGAGGCTGGCATGGTTGAGGCCTGAGGCCTGCTTCCTGGGGTGGAGATGAATGAACTAAGGCAGGCAGGCAGGCTGAGGTACGGGGCGTTGGGGGTCACTGCCCTGGTCCCTGTGCGCAGGCCTTCTCTGCATGGCGGGGGCTCAGAGGAGCCCTGCTCTGTCTGTCTGTCTGATGTGTTCAGCTGCAGTCTGGAGCAGACAGTGGCTGTGGGGCAGAGGAAATGGGATTTGCTAGCCCAGGGGTCTGGGCTGGCGACCTTTCCTTGGCGATGCTTTGCTACAGGAACCATCACTCCCAGCCTGTGGAAGTTTAGACTGAGAAGAGCCATGCTGGGCCCCACAGACCAGGCTTCCACGCCCCCCACATCCGATCCATCTCACTGCCCAAGCGGGACAGGTTATTTTTGTTCCCCTAGATACAGCCAGTGCCTTTGCCCTGCTCTCCAGGAGTTACTCAGTGACCAGTGTTGGTTTTCAAATTCCAGAGCAAAAGGAGGTCCTCCTGCCCTTCACGGCTTCCTCCCCCAAGGACCTGGCACTTCCTCCATCCCACCCGCGGCAGGGCTCGGTCCGAGGTGGGGGTGCTGGGCATCTTGGGGAGAGGGCTACATCGTTCTCCTCTGCATCTCCACATTCTGCGTTCCCCCAGCCCATTCCCATCAGTGCCCCGGCTGGCCGCTCTACCTCTCAACTTGAAGGAATCTCTCCCCAAGACCCATGCCCCCTGCCACCTCTGCTTCCCCCAACTTTCCTCCACCCACCCCGACTGGCTTCTGCCTCCACTGTCTGCACTGACATTGCAGTTGTCTATAATAATCCATCAAAGCCCAGGACCACCTCCCTGCGTCCTCTGTCCCCATCCATCCTGAGGCCCTCTCCTCACTTGGCTCTGCACACGCTGCTCACTTGCTAATCTCTTCCCACCTCACTGCAGGCTCCCTCTTGCCTCCTGGCCAGGTGCTTCCTTGAAATGATGCTCTGGCCATTGCTCCTGGACTCAGTCTGCACAGTTCCCTGGCTTTAGACACCATCTGCCTGGTGGAAAGCCCTGTGCTCTTCCGGCTTCAGCCCATGCCTCCTCGATGAGCTCTGTAGAAGCAGTTTCCGTGGCACATTTTTACTTGAGGTCTACCACAGAACCCTCATTCTCACTATGTTATCCCTGGGTTTGATTCTATCACCTTCATCTTCTGGTTGCTAAAGACAGTGACCTTGTTTCCTTCTTAACTGCATAGTAAATATGTTATCCAGTCCACCAAATCCTACCACCGGATATTCTTATAATTCCACCCTGGCTCTCACTGGCCACTACCACCCCGATTTTCCTAAGCTACCATCTTTCCTTATTTTTCAGAAGCCTCAAAATTGGTCTGCCTCCTTCCAACTTGAGGTGTTTCCATTTTAAGTCCATGCAGTATTAAGAATTATCCTTTAGATGTCACTCAGGTTGTGACAGCATTTCTCCTGAGGCCTTTTAACATGCCTGTATGTATTTGTTCAGAACATCAGCGTAGTCCGTGAGGCCCTAGGTTTATATAGACTTATTCTCCCAGCTTCCCCGTGTCCCACTGGCTGGGTGCTTGGGTCTTTTGTTTCACTACAGTTCCTTTCCTAGACCCAAGACTCCAACCTCTGCTCCACATCACCAGTCCCATCCTCACCCTTCATTCTCATCAGGCTGAGTTTTCCTCACTTCCTGTCCAAACCAGCCTCCTTGATTTCCACTTCAGGCCTCTATTTGTTTTCGTAACATCACAGATTGCAACTCATTATAATTCTGTTTACTCACTTCTCTTTTGCCACTCACTCCAGAGTGTGACCTCTACGCAGGAAGGGACAACATTCGACGTTTGCACTGTTGTGCTGGAGGCGCTGGCTGAGGGCTTGGCCCTCAGCTGACCCGCAGTAAAAATCTGTGTGGACGGAGCCTCTGGAGACAGATGGAGCAAAGGATACCAAAGCTGTGCTTGGGGGCGCACATCTGGGCACGATCCTGGCCTGAGAGAGGTGAGGTGGAGAGAAAGCTTGGGTGGGCGTCCTGGGGTGGGGATGGGGTTGGGATCCCTGCCCTTCCACAGTCATGGTCAACCTGTCAGCTGCTTCCTCCCCCATGAGCTTCTGACCTGTGAAATGGAGCCCACTCCATCAATAACTGGTTAACCCAGGCACAGGGATGCTGTGCCAGGGCACAGTCATGAGTGAGACCTGGCTCAGTCTTCAAGTGCTCAGGGCTTGAGCATGGGACATGACTCCATCCTGGAAGCAAACCCTCACCGGCACCCACTGTCCCTAGACACAAAACTGGATGTGTTCTGGGATTTATTTCATTGAACTCCTGCCAACAACCCCACACAGTTGAAATTATCACTGCCATTTCCCTAAACAGGAAACAGATAATGTGATTCTGCACCTTGACAAAAGTCGCACATGAGGTGAGCGATGGAGCTGGGATCAAGTACCTCTCTGAGCCCTGCAGCTGTCCCAGCCAGGCCAGAGTCCAGTGGGGCTGGAGGAGCCATGTGTAGGGAGGGTTCTACACCGGTGCCACCCTGTGATGAGCTTCTTACCAGCCCGACTGAGCTTCCTGGACACATGGTAGGATGAGCCATCAGCACCCATCTTGTCTGCATTTCCTGGTGACAGCAAATATATGCTCTAGGCCATAATGCTGTGAAGGTTTCGAAGCCCTGGGGAATAGTGCGGGAAATGGGATCAGTAAAATGTTAACCCTACCTCGGCAGCCCTCCCACCTGAGCGCCCTGCTCCATCTAATTCTGGCACTATAGCTAGGCCCACTCTCCTTTGCCTGGATATTCCTCAAATGAGGTTGAATTTCCAGAGGTCTTCCTCACCCTCCTCCTCCCTCCAGAAGGTCAGGCTTTCTCCTCTATTGACAGCTGGGCTAGCCTGGGCCTCAGCAATCTCTGGATAAAGAAGGGCTGCACAACACTTCTTGCTTACCCTCTTTAACCTTCCATTCCACAGGAGAAAAAATCTCCTACACAGCTCTGTCCCTCCCAGTGGCATTTGCAGCAAGTTGCTGTGGCCCAAGTCTCTAAGAACCAAGGCGACTTTGGAAATTGCTGTTCAGTTGATTTTTTTTTTTCTGTCTTCCCAGTTCCTCATGGCTCTATCCTTTTATTTTCCTTTATGTGTCCATGTTGTTTTCTAATTAATTTCTAAGCAGATGCAGCTTGGGTGTGGGGAACCCCTTCCATGGGGAGCTCCCATGAGACTGACATGTAATCCAAGGCCCCACCATGGATCCAACACCTACTGAGTCTAAACATACATTTTAGACTCACTTATACATTTTCCTAATCTCAAGAAGTCCAATTCCCAGGGCTACATGTGCATGCATGCACATAATCACAGTCACACACACAACATATACTGTATAGGCACATACATATACTGTCTCCCAGACGGACACACACACTCACACATGTACACCAGCACAAACATCTATTGTCCACGAAGCAGGAACTTGCAGCCAGAAGTGACAGGAGGAAACACAAACCCAATCCCATCCTCACTCCAAATATTCCCAGAGATATTTGCAGGAATCTTGGCTTTTCTATCATCTGCCATAGATGATGTGTGAGTCCGTATTATCTCATCTGAACATAACTGACTTACATGTACATGTACATATTAAAAGAAGTGTCCATACTTACACGAGCATTCTCCCCTTCTTAGAATAAGAATGAAACAGTGTTTTGGCAAGTATTAGGTTAGCTTTATAAACAAAGACAGCCAAACCAGAACATTTTGGTACAAAAACCTACCAGGGGCCTGAGTCATCTGGTTTGGCCATCTATACTTGGCCAATTAACCAGTAAATTGCCAAGGTTGTGTACGTGTGCTGGGCAGGCACACTTTCAGTGTGGCCTGCGTGCTTGCAGATACACAGATATCCCCCGACACCTCATTATTAAGGATATTTCTATACATATTATTACATCTAATGTATATTTGTACCAAACGATTTATAACTGGTATGAATCTTTCATACCAGGCTGATATTCTACGGCTACCTACAGGTGACTGAGCCTTGGGTATAGAAGCCAGAATAGGCAAGCATGCTCTCAAGGCCATTTTGCATCTGTTTTTGTTGTTTTCAACTTTGATGAATCTGTGCTCAGATGGTGCGATGAGATTTATTATTAATGTACATCACACATAATTGGTGAAAAAAACTGGCTTTTAAAGAGCACCCCGAATAGCAGCTAATAAATGATTGTAAAAACACAAAGGAATAGCAAGAGGGCATATGTCATTGATTATTACATTTTAAAAAGATTTTGGGTTTTTCTGTTTTACTAGTACTCACTTTTACTATTTGCTTTGAACTTTTGCCCATGTCTCCCTTTGTTCCATGATGAGAATGGCCTTACTGTTCGAAGGGTCTGAAATATAGAGACGCCCTGCAAGCAGCACTGAAATAGATCAACAGGTTCTGGTGCGCTGTAGTCTGTTATGGTACAAACAGCATTTCTCAAACTTCACTGTGCGTGCAAGTGCGACTTGCCTAGAATCTTGCTGATGTGCAGATTCTGGCTCCCTAGATCTGTATTTCTAACAAGCTCTCAGGAGAGGCTGTTATGGCTGGTCTGTGGACCTCACTTTGAGAAGCAAAGGGAGGCTGAGACAGGAGGATTACAAGTTCAAGTCCAGCCCGGGCAATTCAGCAATAACCTCTCTCAAATAAAAAAAGAAAAAAAGAAAAAAATGGCTGGGGATGTGGCTCAATGCAAAGGCCCTGGGTTCAATCTTCAGTACTATATTCACCTCTGTGCGCGCGCGCACGCGCGCACACACACACACACACACACACACACACACTCACACACAAATCATACTGGGCCTGGAGTTGCAAATCCCAGGTCTGTCCATAGTTTATCTTTGCTGAGCCTCAGTTTCTTCTTCTGCAAAATAAAAAGTTTTAAATACTCTCTTCCCAGAGGATGTTGTAAGGCTCTTAGGAGATGACATATCTGAAAGCTCTCTGTACTCCATATCATCCCCCTCAATTCATTTGTTAGGATTGCCTGCCTTTGCCTTCAAAGCCTCCCGGGCAGGTCTGCTGACCTGGTGGGTAGGGCTGATGGAGTGATAGCAGCTCTCCTTGCATTCCTTTCAGGGATCTCCTGCTGCAGCAGTTTCCCCGGAAGCTGCTATTTGCAGAGCCACATACTGCATGTCTCTCCCTCCACCCTCTGATTGCTAGCCTGAGTGTGCCCTGGCCCTGACCCAGAGAGGCCACAGGCTCCCAGCCATGCTGGGGCATCTCGGATGCATCCCTCCCTGTTTGAGCGCGTGTCCTCTGCCTTTAGCTCACCACACATTCAGGGCTAACTGAACTGTGCGGAACTCAGCCCTGGGAAGTTTGCCCTCTCTGCTCTTCTCCCTGGGCAGCCAGTTCCCTCATGCCCCCATCCCTCATGGCCTCTGTGCTCACCCGCTCAACTGCCCCCATCAAATCCTGCTCAAAGCACAGCTGGTGTTTGAATACATGCTGAGTTAGCAACGACTGATAAGGCTTAAGCCTGACCTCTTTAGTGAACAAAGTCAAGATGAGAGGCAGAACTACAAAGGTCTGGTTCGGGACTGGGAGCCTTGAAAGAGCTTGAAAAGCCTGAAATTTTAGACTTCACTGTGTGGGATCTGAATGCCTTGCCATTTTCTATCCTCCAGTGGAAATGTTCAAACTTTGCTGTGTTCCTGATCTTGCTTCCTATCCTCATGAGTGTGTTTGTGAAGGTTAAAATCAACCCCTCTGACTGTTGTGAAAAATCTGTCAGGCCCAATCTATTGGCTGTGTAGAATCTTGAGCACAGCCGTCATTCTTAACCAGGAATTACCTGCTTCCCTCTGGCAACAACTGTGGCGAGTGATGCTGTTGTGTGGGACAAGTGCCTTTGGTGTGTCCTGGGCAGTGACCACCCCTCCACCTCACTGCAACCATACGAAGAGTGACTGAGCCAATGCGTATATAACAGAATTTATTACAGTAAAAGACACATTCCCATTATCCCTCTCAAAATCCTCTCCATGACTTCAAGCACACCCATCCCATCATTCTGGCCACTTTCTGTGTAAGAACCTTGAGTTAAACGATTGTGCCATGGGAGCTCCTCTTGCCGCTTTCTGGGCAGTTCTGAATATCCTCTTTCACAAGTGTCTTTGGGAGGTATGATTTTAAAAAATGCAGTGAATGCTGCTGCTGAGTGCCATCCGATGGAAAGGCCAGCTCGTCATAACATCATGGGGGACTCTCGTCTATTTTACTTGGTACTGCGCAACTTTTGGCTCTTCCCTGAAATCGGACTTGACCATGAAAGGCAAACATTTTGAGTTGATTCAGGACATTGAGTGAGCCACAGAGAGTGCAATTCAAGACATGAAAGAAGGGGTCCAGAAGAACTGCTTCAGGAAGTGGCAAGAACAAGGGGATAAGTGTTTAAAGCAAGGAGGAGGATTTCAAGGGAAGTTCATAGCAATGTGCCTTTTACTGAAATAAGATTTTTTTATCATACTTTGTAACTCTGCTCTTGTCTCTTTTACTCAGTGAATTCCATCCAAGAAAAGGACAAGAAAGTTATTATAGGAATAATCTTGATTTGCTAAGATTATTTTTCAAGTATTCCTAAGCTTTGGTCTTTTACTTACCATTGATAACAAATAGTACTGCGTAAAACATTGTTAAGAAATTCTTTCCAGAGTGCTGGGGTTATAGGAGTGTGCCAGGCCTAGCTGGCCTCTTACATTTTTTTATTTCTAAAATAGATAGGTGGAAATATTCCACTCTCATTGTTCACTGGTTTCTCTTTGTAAATCTGTTGACTTTTTGCTACATTTATTTTAAGACTATATTATTGAACGCATGCAAATTTAGTATTACTATATCTTTCTGGTGCAATATCTTTCAGTAATGATCATTTTATCTCCATAATGCCTGTGAGATTTTGGAGAGGAGGGTGTTGTTTTGTTTTGGTTTTTTGTTCTTGCTTTAAACTTCTTGGTCTTTTATGACTATTGCTACATCAACTTTTTTTCTATATCATTTCTCCCTCCCAATCTCTACCATCTTAGGGACTATACCTAGGGCCTTTGTACTGAGTTGCATTTCCAGATCTTTTTTATTTTTTAATTTTGAGAGAGGGCCTTGCTAGGTAACTAAGTTGCCTAGGCTGGACTCAAATATGAAATCCTCCTGCCTCAGCCTCCCAGAATGTTGAGATTGCAAGTATGTAACACCACACCTGGCTCATATCATTGCATTTCCAACATTGTTCTGTTGTTCTAAATTATGAATAGAATATAGATAGACTTTTTGAAAATTTTAAATTGAGAATCTTTGTGCTTTAGTAGATGTGTTATGTCCATTAGCCTTATATAAATTTACTGATTTTGTTCTGTCTGAGTTTTG